TTTATGATTACATTTTGGATTGATTTATGCTTCTAAGAATTTGATTTATGATTCCATTCAATATATTTTATGTTTTAATATGAATTTCATTTAAAATATACATTTATGTAATATTCTGGACTGTTCTGGTTATAAAAAGATATGCAGGTCTGTTTCTGTGATTGGGAATGTTGTAGAAACAGACTCCATTTTAAAAAAAAACGTACTTATATGCCTCGGTTCTGGTAAAAACCGAAGTCAAAAGCCCACTTACTGCCTCGGTTATGGTCAAACCCGAAGCAGAATGTGTAGCGGAGGAGAAAAAAAAAACCGAGACCTACTGCATCGGTTTGGGCCACAACCGAGGCAGTAAAGTGGTACTTTATGCCTCGGTTACGAAGAACCGAGGCCTAATGTGCTACGAAAAAAATAAATTAAAAAAACGTTAAATGTTTATGCTTCGGTTAGAGATGAACCGAGGCAGTAGGGGGTGAGTTTATGCCTCGGTTCACAACCGAGACCAAAAGTGTTAGACTTTTTACCTCGCCTGAATATGCCTCGGTTCGAAAACCGCTGCCTATATACAAAAATAACCGCTGTCGTTTCCCCTGATTGTACTAGTGTGCAGAACAAATTTAAAATATTTAATGTCAATAGCTCAAAAGATCAGAGAAGAAGCTCGAGGTTAACACAAATATATCGGCCTCTTTTAGACCAGCCTTCCTACTTTATATATCTTTTCGATGGTTACTCGGTTTCAATGTGTGAAGACACATGTCTTTTTCCTCATCCATATGGTTTTTTTGTAGAATTGCAACATATAATTGTTTTTCAACATGATCCTTCATAGGGGTGCAACGTAGCCATGAGCGTGGTCTCTTCTTTTTTAGGGAATGATGACTTTCTTTATAACTTCCTTCTCTATTTATTTTGAACTAATGAATCTTCAAATTTTAGTACCTCCTACTTTTTGACATTTTTATTTTATTGAAACTCAAATTTTATTTTCACATCATTTATTGTTGGTATATTCATGCCTCATGTTAAAACTTTTTTTAAATTTCTAAAACTCTTACCATTGTGTTGAAAGTGACTTTTGAAAAAGATGTAGATAGTAGATTCAAAATCGCAAATTTAGATAATTCTATAAAATGAAAATCAATTATCTCAGATATATAATAATCTTACATCGTTTAAGAGTCAAGACAAATAATAATTTAAATATACTGTCTACCTTTAATCCTTTAAGTGTCTTTTAAGAACAAAATTGTAACAAAGATTCAATTGTCAAAGCGAACAATACATATGAGTTCTCACACCCAAGTATCATAACAATCTCCTCCTCAAATATAAGTCCTTTTACATCAAATATACCATAGAGAGGTTTTCATTAGAAGGTGTAGCAAGATGAGAGATTAATACGACATTTTTGAGTTAGGAAGAATAACTTGGTATTTGTAAAGGGATCTATGATCTATCACCTAGACTTTGTGGTCTAGAGTGCTTTGTTTTTGTTGCCGAAGTAGTTTTCAGCTTCTACTAAGGAAGACTCACACTTGTGGATACCTCTCATGGACCCAATACCATTCATGCCAGAGTCCTTAAGAAAATTGTTATAGGTGTTTAAATAAAATGAAGAGTTTTATAGACATATATATAGAGGCATATTTGTGACGTTAGCCTATAAGTAGAGGATTAGTGTTATGCTGTAGTATCTTAATAGATCAATGTGTTGTATACTTCTCTTGGTAATTTGTTTGCTTATATACCATTGTGGTAGTTTTGTTATGTAGGAATCTTCATAGATTTTTTTTTTTTGTTTAAAGTACAAACTTTAAGGTCCATTGTATGCATATTATTGTATTTAGAAAATTTTGTATGTGTATATAAAAGCTAAAGTATCACAAGAACTCCATTATATATCTATACATTGTAGTCCAAAAAAAAATAACAGATCTTTCAACGAAGTTCACCAAAAAAAGATAATTAATGAGTGATGAGTTCATTCGACATAAATAATTGATATTACTGTTCAACCCAAAACTTTAAAACAATTGATTTATGAATTTTTTTTTTATATATCATTTAATTTTAATACGATACTTAAACTGAAAACTTAAGTGAAGGTGATACTTGAACTTAAATTTGGATATCCAACCATTATTATAATATTTCTTAACTTTCTTTCCTAGCAAAAGAGTGGTGGAGAATTAAGATTTTGATACGGCTCTTAAAAACACTATTATTCAGTACTAGAAACATTAATTCTGCCCATTTCGTGGCTCACCTTTTTGTGGCTTTCTCTAACTTGAGATTTTATTTGATATATAGTTTCTTATAGGAGAATATAAGAAGTCAAAATTAAACCGTAATCCATTTGGAGATTCAAGCAACCATGACTCTAATTAGTGGACCACTAATAATCACGCCCACGGGATTAGTGTGGTCTCATAATTTTTAATGAATAATATCAAATGTTTAATTATAAATGCCACCATTTTTTAATAATTTTTTTATCCTGGAGCAAGACATGGGTATGCTCCACTTCAATGACAGGTACACTTTTGCCACCTAATAATTCACAACCAACAAATGTGGACGTTAGACTCACCAATTGTATTGTCATGCTGCTACTCTACTAAACTTTAAAGTGGTTGAAGTAGTAGTGTGCCACACATTGCTGGTGTGTTTTTCCATATTCTATTACCAAGTTATCTTATTTAGTCTCTTAATTTAACTATTATTAAGTCAGCAAGACAACTTGAAAAACTTGAGAATATTGTTCCACACTCAAAAACGTTATTATTCAAACATAGAACATTGGACTTTTCAAAAGGACAACATTCCCCATTGTACTCTCATTTGTCTCTCATCACCTCTCTTACATATAAATCTAAATCTCCCATCTTTAACTTGCTCAATATATGCACATCCCCTTCAACGTTCTCAAAAAACCCTTTGATGTTAAGTTTTATCTGAAGCAAAATGCTAGGGAAAAAGATGGTATCTTTGAAGAAACTAGCGAAGAAAGTGAAGGCTGTCGGTGGCGCTGAGCCAGAGCCTGATACTCTCTACCAAGAATGTTTGCTGAAGGGGTATGAAGAGGAAAAGGAATCTGGGTCTGGCGTAACCCCAACTGGTTTTTTAGCACTTTACGTTGGTGATGAACGGCAGAGATATGTGGTCCCAACCAGCTACCTTTCCCACCCTCTATTCAAGATGCTGCTGGAGAAGGCCTACAATGAATTTGGCTTTGCTCAGAGGAATGGCCTAGTGGTTCCATGCTCTGCTTCAACATTTCAAGAGGTGGTGAATGCTATTGAATGCAACAATGGCAAGTTTGACTTAGGAAAACTTTTTGAAGATTTTGCTTAAAAGTGCAGAAACAGATCATCTGCCATGTGTGTCAGTTTGTTTTTGTTTCTGTGGTTATTGTTAATGCATCAGAACTATGACCTTGTGGTGGGGTTATGATTATTGGATGTTCTGGCCGGAGTTTAGATAACACTGGTCTTAATGTTGGCTAGTTGATCTTGGTAGCTTTAGTTTCAATTGAAGCTATTTGTGCAAACAATTTTCAAGTATGATAATTTTGACTTATAAATTAGTTTTTGACGGTATGATAGTGAACTATCAATAATTCAATACTTTAGTCTATCCCGATGCATTTTCTTATAGACTTTCAGTAATCAAACGTGTCACTTACATTTTACAACTGGCATCCAGTGCCAGAAAAGTGACCTCAGCAATCAGTGGCAACAATTGTGGTTGTTCGATTAGTCAAATGGATGTTTTCAATGGAAATGTTCTAGCTAGTAGTAGTGGGAAAGAATAAAATAATGGTTAAACCTGATTTTATTTTCGTGGGTTTTTCATTTCGATCCTCGTTTTATTAGAATTTCTAATTTAGTTCTAAAAAATGTAAATTTGAGTTAATTGGGCTCATGTCATTAAATTAGCTTAACAAAGTTAAGTCTTTGATGAGGAGAAAGGTTGACTTGACAAGTTTTTTAAACGTGACATTCTCTACGCTGTATACGTGGAATATATAATTAAAAAAATTTCTAAAAATTAAAACCCAAATTAGGGTTCATCATCTTCAACCCTAACAATTGATGTTCATCACGAAATTTGGTTTTCATGAAATTAAGCACCACCAGATTAGGGTTTAGTAAAATCAAATTAGGTTCGAGATTGGAGTTAAAGGTGTTTCGTAGGTTCCATGGAGATTCGAAAGTCTCCGTTTTGTGTCTAGCGCGATTTAGGGTTGGTGGCTAATTTGGGGCTTTTCAAATTTGTGATTCTATATCAAGAATCTTTGTCTTTTTCATAAACGAATGTGATTTCAGATTTGGGGGGTTTTAGAATGGCTTTTGAGCATATATTTGCAAAAATCAAGAAGGAAAAAAAGGAAGCAATTCCTGTTTCCGCATTTGGGCTTAATGCATTTCTACCTGTTTACGCCAAAATCTAGAATATTTACACGTTGGCTTTGCAGGAGTTTAAAAGCAACGTTGTGTGAAAAGCAGAAAAAATCCATTTATTTCGAGAATTTTGAGTTCAATTTACGAGTTCCGGAACAAAACTCCTCTTGGAGATCGGTGCTCCGTGACCGAATTTTGGGGAAATAGAGCTGGTTGGGAAAATAACTAGTTTGGAATTTTACAGGTTTCAAATGGTTTAACAGAGAAGAAAATAGATGATGATGAGTTCGGTTGCAATGGGAAAAGCTTTAGCGCTGGTTATGTTGGCCATGATGGCGATTTGCTCTCGCAATGCTGGGTGGAAGGGGATGAATTAAAGCGAACATGGCGGAGTCACGATTTTGATTTTGTGGTTACTTGATTGTAGGTCGATGGTGCACGACGAAGATGATGGTGGTTCTGAGGCGTGATTGGGTTCTCTAATGATGGTTATTGTTGTGTAATGTGCAGGAATTACAGATGCTGGAATGAAAGCTATTGCTGAATTTAGGGTCTGGGTGATTGACAGGAAAGAGGATTTCTGAGTAGTGCTTCATTGTAATGGAATATGACTTTTTTTAAAAATTTTAATCAAAATGTTAAAATGTTTTTAAATTCCACGTAGAGCTCTGTGAATGTTATGTTTAAAAAACTTGCCACGTCAACCTTCCACCTCATAAAAAACTTAACCCCGTTAAGTCAATTTAACAGCAAGGGCCCAATTGACTCTAATTAGCATTTTTTAGGATTAAATTGGAGATTCTAATAAAACGAGGATCGAACTGGGAAAAACCCACAAAAATAGGAACAACTAAAGGGGTTTAACCTAAAATAATCTACGACCAACATCAGATTTACATGAGTATTATGTGCTCTTCGTTTCGAATTTACTTACCCAAGACTGTTAAAACCTAGATAAATGACATTATTTTGGATTTATGTGAATGTATTACTTAAATTTTGAAATCACACGAATATTCAATCCACTAAAATAAATTCATTTTAGCTTAATATCAATTTTGGTCCCTAATTCTTTTAGTTGTGTTCAAAGTGGTCATCCTATTTTTGAGTTGTTCATAGTGGTCTAATGTTTTGTAAAAATAGTTCAAATTGGTACTTTTTGCTGACGACGTTAAAATCGCTAACGATGTAATGCCCACCTAAACTAATATTGAATGACCTGTCTAATTATTCATTACGTGATAAGCTCAAATTAATTGACATGGAAATGTTAAAACTTAAAGTTATTGATGTGAAAAAGTTAAAATTAAGGTTAAAGCAAATTACAATTAGGTTGGAAGCAAACCACCATTCCAAAACGTGAAATCAGAAATCAAAACTCCAATTCAAAAATCCTAATCCCCAAATCCATTAACCATCTGTGGAAGAGAAACAAGACACAAGAAATTCCCAAATCACAACCCTCAATCCTAAACGAAAATCCTAAAATCCTTAAATCACAAGAGCACGAAGAACCTCAACCATTGTGCCACCAAAACAAAATAGAAACTCAATCCAATTAAGGAAACCCAATGTCAGAATCCCAAAAATAGAACCCCAATTCAAAGACAACTTAACTTCAATCATTATCGCTTACTTTTTTAACTGTCCTCTTCCTGTTCATGATTTGTTCTCTAATCGATTGGATATACATGTTAAAGATACTTCAATCTTTAAATCAGCTTGGGTTTGATAGGTTAAGCAATTAATATTCTAATAAATGTGTTGTAAAATGTCTCAACAACAAGTATACCTCTAACCTGTATTTATAGTTTTTTTCATAAGCTTCTGATTAAGGTTGATTTAATTACAACTCAATTATGTTAAACTATTTAGATTAGCTAGATGATTAATTAATTCTTATTGTATCATTTGAAAACATATACAACACATCTACCTTAATGATGGAGCGATGTCAATTTTTTCTTTATCAAACTCATCCAAATTTATTGTAAATTTTTAATTAACATAATTTTTAATTTGTTTTTCAATATGGTGTTAACCTTCTCATGATATTTCTAAATAAACTTTTATCTAGATACTCATTATTTATGTAATAAAGAAATTGTACGTGAAAGTGGAAGTAAATTAAGAAGGCTAATCAGGTTAAAATTGTAACACCCTGTTCTTTCCAAAAACTAATTATTACTTGTTTATTTAAACATGCATGCGAGTTTATATTTTCTAAATATATTTTTTGATTGAATATTTTGAAACGATTTGTGATTACGACTTTTGGTTACGCGTACAAAAAGATAGGTTTGTCAATATGAAAGACTTCGATGAAATCTTAAGGACAAACAAATGGAGGACTTTTGTTTGTACTCCATTTGTTCTAAGAAGAACAAACAAACTTAAGGTTTGATTTGACGCGTTTATAACTCTGAATGAAAAACAAATTGAAGGCTTTGTCTTATGAGTTTGAAAATTTGAACGACAAAGAAACTCAAGGATTTGTTTGATGCATTTCAACCACTAAAGAACAAGCAAACCCACAACGTTTTTTGATGCTTTAAAGGATAGAAGTCCAAGTTGTGTAGTTGCAAAGGGAGAGAGGATGTAGGTGATGCAGAAGAAGGGGAAGAGAAGCTCAGTGGTTTCGAGTGTAGCGTTTGGTGGTGTAGAGTGAACGGAGATAAAGACTCTGAAATTGTTGAAGGTTGGAGGAAAATACCATATAAAAAAAAGATAATTAAAGTTCACGTAAGACCTTAAGCATTAATATGAAGTTTTATGTAGTGGGTTTTTTTATTGATTATTCGTTTAATGTTTCGGTAGGTTTTTTTTTTCAATCTCAAATAGGTCTCCCATTGATTCTTTGTTTTTGAAAAATTGAAACAAATAGAACATTGTCGTTGGACTCAACGCCGTTAGACTAGCATGTACGTGGTATGCTGTTATTTTTAATGATGTGGCATAGTTATATTATAATTAGATGATTGACGTGTAAATTCATATTTGAATTAAGAAATTGGGGAAATTTTAATTGACATTAGTCCCTCTCTTCGGATTAACATTTGTGAAAATTCTTTTGAAGAAAACTGTGATAGAATTAATGGATAATGATATCCGGCTCTTCTTCAACCTGTAATGGGTGGTGGAATCGCTGCCACTACGATGGTGGAAATCACTGCACTAACGGCAACGCCCTCACTTCCTCCTCTAACGGCGTTGGTGGCGGTGTTGTCTCCTCCCACACACCCCATGGTGAATTCTTATATTTCAAAACCCTAAAACGTAAAATTGGGAATTTTGATTGATTATTGGTTTCACATTGGTAAGCTTCCAAACCTGTGCAAGCGTTTTATGTTGATCTGTTTTTTCTATTCGATTTCTCTTTAACGCTCTTCTTTTTGTAGCCGGTTTCAGAGGCTGATTGGGAAACATACCTTACATGCGTTTTGCTTCATCTGCACAATTGTACATGTAGTTTTTATGGTCAGAATGGAATCAATATTTTTTGCTGTTGCGTTTTGTTTTGGTTTACCCTAATAATTATACTGTACGGTGTTTCTGGAATTACGGTTCCGTGAGAAATGAGAGAGGGGCTGAGATTGCGACCGCGATTGGGGACAATTTCTGGAGACGAAGAAGTTGTTAGCAAGAAAAAGGTTGTTGTGAAGAGCGAGGCTATTGCTAAGGATGGTGAGGGTTTGAAGGTGTAGAACTCAACGATTGAGAAGAAGGATGAAGTTGCACCTGATGTTAAAGAAGAATGTGGTTTTGATTTGGATGTGAGTGCAAGTGGAGAGGTTGACTTGGAAGAGAATGCGAGTGGTATTGGTTGTGGGTGAAAGACGAGTTTGGGATTCTGGAGGGGAAAGACGAGCTTGACATTGCCTTCCTGATTTTATGGGTTTTTGAAATTCTTGTTGTGAGGGTGATGAAGATGGTGACTGAATGGTGTTAATATCAAGCTCCAGTTTTCGATTTCTCAATTGTAGAAGAAGGGGCTGTCCTTAATTAAATTTGATTTCCCGTCTTTGTACTCCATTTTTCAATTGCTAAATTACAAAATACACATCACACACGTTTTTAATGCCACGTAAGCTTAAATAATACTCTCAGCATGCCACATAAGGTCATATTAAATGCCATTTGTCCAATT